CTAGAAGATCACCACCACCATCAACCAGTCTACAACGACGACAACCTCGACGATGACGTCGACGTTGACGGTGATGACGACTCCACTTCCTCCCCTTCCCTCGCCGGCGAGGTTACCATAGCCGTCTCCGGCGTTGGCGTCTCCCCCAGTGATTCTCTTGCCCTTTACCCCGATCTTAAAAGACGTCGTCTCGATGATTTCACTATTCCCGTTATTCTGCCAGAGAAGAAGCCATCGGCGACTTTCGACGACTCTCAACGGAAGCTGTTTCAACGTCTGTGGACTGACGAGGACGAGATTGAGCTGTTACAAGGATTCCTCGACTACACGACGCAGCGCGGCTTGAATAACTCCTCGACGCCGCAGCACCATTACGATACGACTGCGTTTTACGACCAGATCAAGAGCAAATTCCAGCTGGATTTCAACAAGAACCAGCTGGTCGAGAAGCTCCGGCGGTTGAAGAAGAAGTACAGGACTGTGATGAGCAAGATGGGATCAGGTAAGGAATTCGTCTTCAAGAGCGCTCACGATCACGCCACTTTCGAAATCTCTCGCAAGATCTGGACTAATGTAGGCTCCGCCGTCCGCGGCGGCGCTAACGGCGTTGCGGGTGCTGTCGTTCTCTATGCCCCACCGGAAGACGGTGGATTGGATGATGACGATGCTCACGTTAACCCTAACCCTTATGCTAATGATCTCATTGATCATAGCCCTAAGTTTAACCTTAACTCTAACCCTAACGGAATTGACATTAAAACTCCGAGATCACGAAAGCGATCTCCAGCTGCATCTACAGAAGCAGTTAAAGTCGAGCAACAACCTTACCAGCCATCCGGTGGCAGCACTACCGTGCCATTGGCAGCTGAGCCCGTGTCTGGCGTTGCAGCCACGGCCACAGCTACGGTGGCTGCTTCAATGCCTAGCTTGATTGAGGAAACAGTGAGGAATTGTGTATCACCAATTTTCAAGGAGTTGTTGAACAGTGTGGCGAATTTGAATGGGCCCAGCAGAGGGTTAGGATTCGGAGGAATGGGGATGAGTCCGATCCCATTAGGTTTCGGGGGAGGTGCAATGAGCATGGAAATGATGGGGGACGAGAAATGGAGGAAGCAACAGATGTTAGAGTTGGAAGTGTATTCGAAGAGATTAGAGCTGGTTCAAGATCAGATCAAAGCACAATTGGAGGAGCTGAGATCAATGGGAAGTTAGTTGCTGATGACAATAATAAAAAAGGTTGCTTTTTTATTCTGTTATCATCTCAAAAAAAAAAAGGTTGCTTTTTTATGTAAACATTTCTCAAATAATTCTAGCTTTGATAGTTTTATGAGATTGTTGATGATATAATGGCTGATAGTTGTAGCATTGGATACATTGTGAAGCCGCTCTTTAGGTATTTAACTTTTTGGGGGTTGAATAATGAGTTCTAATTGTTGACAGTCCTGTTATATGCTCTGCTTGTTTGAAGACTGTTGCAACAATAGATGCTGTCTATTTTGTATATAGAAATGAATTTGATAGTTCAGTTAGTGTCAGTTCTTGATCTCTCTGATTGAAATGCTGCGCTGCTGCTTCTCTACATTTTCCTATTGTCTGTATTCGCACTGCCTTTACAAGAACCAAGGTGCCTTTTTCTGTTTTTTGACTTTCAAAGAAAGTAGAGCGAACTTTATGTCTTCGTTTGAGAACTTTTAAGTTCAGTTGTGACAAGGGACCTGTGTAGCTAGTAGCCGATTCAATTCTGCAGAATTTATTGCCATGATTGCCACAAAGTTACAAGCCATGTATTATTGGTTTGGTGTAAATAGTTATTTATGGTTTGCATAAACATATTTAAATCAGTGTTGTCAAAGGCTTATTTAAGGCGCGTTTAAGCCCTAAAGCTCAGAAAAGCTCAAGGAGGGCTTCGCCTCACTTAAGTTGCGCTTCAGTGTAGGCAAGGCACCAAGACATGCCCCTTATTGTTCATGAGTTCTATCTTGAATGGAGCAATGCTAGACTACATATATAATCGGCAAATAGGTGTATTAGTTGTTAAAAGGAAAACAGTATGAATGGATTTGTTAGTTTTATCTTAAACTACATACATATTTTTATTTTTTTCTTCCATTGCGCCTTTTTTTATCTAGATTGCGCTTTGTGCTTAAAGCCCCAATTGACCTGGAGCGCTTTTTAGAGCTTTTCACTTTTGACAACACTCATTGAAATATTTATTCCCGATGCTTGAACAAGCTATAACTTCCAGATCCCTGTGTTTTATCCTAGGTTGTGATCAAGTGCTTTCTAGCTTTACATCCATCACCATTATGTGATTATGGAGCGGAGTCATTGTATTATTGGTTGTCATCTCTGTTCCCACTTCAAAATTAGTACTTAAATCGTTATAGGTTTTACACTACCCAGAAGAGACTTTGCCCATATGAACTCCATCATATCAAGACTTACTCAGTTTAATGAGATAGCACCAGCACAGAAAAGGGAAAAAGAAAGAGGCTTGTCGAGCTGACTGGTATCCACATGTTAAGTTCAACAGATACATACAATTTGAGAAAATGAGCGTCTTAGAAATATTATTCAGAGAAAGCATAATTAGTTTATCAACATCAGGATCAGTAATGAAATCAGATGACTGTAGTCTTCTTCCCTTACGTTTTACGTCCTCTCTCAATAGATGGTAAACTTTTCTTTGGTCTTCTCGAATACTTGCTCCGCTATAAGGGCTCCCTTACCATCAGCCTTCTTGATCTCTAACTGAGCCTTCTGATAAAATCCAGTACCTCTAAGAGCATCCGCAATGAAATCATCAAACCCAATAGCAATTGCAGCTTCAGCTTTGGCTCCATATACCAACCTCTGTGCAAAGGATATAGGTAGAAGCATCAGCATTGTCAAAACGAAAAGGAGGAGCATGTTCAGTTCAAAAGAATAACATAATGGGAAAGAGTCTAAGGCACAAGTATACACCTTAATACGTGATAGATGGATAGCACCAAAGCACATCGGACAGGGCTCACAAGAAGCATATATCTCACAATCTGAGAGCTCAAATCGATTGAGTTTTTTACATGCCTGAAGATGTGTCAAAAGTGATGAGCAAAAGATCAGGGGCGAGAAAAATACTTAACACAAATATTAGTTCCATAAAACAGAAAAACAAAGGAGAATTCTGTATGTATCACATGACAACTAACGCCTAACCACCCCTTCTTTGTCTAGCATAATCCATTTTCATATAGACCATGGCATCACAAAGCTGCTTCATAGTTCAGACAGGTATCTCATAACTAGTCAACTAACTTTATTTTAACCTCAATAAGTGCTTGTTACTTGACCAGAGAGATCTGATGCATCAAGTGCATCTTATTTTTCAAACTATGAATCTTCAAAAGTATAAGATGACGCCTTTTCACATCATCCTACTGCTCACTAAATGGAGATGTCAGTTGATTCGTCCCACTGCTCACTAAATGGAGATGTCAGTTGACAATGACATCACAAAGCTGCATATGATCAGTTCTAACTGAACACCAATTCGTAAGGGAACTCAAATACATGTCAACTCCGTAACATTGGATTGTGAAAATCCATTGTAAACATTTTTGGCTGGAGAACAAGCAAATATAGCAGAAGCTAAAGCAAAAAATTCTAGCACTCACACCAACGGCCACAGTCAGAGAAGTTTGGGGTTCATAGTAATCCTATCACTAGAATTATATTCATTTTCTCTACCAACTACCTTTTTTCCACAATCTGCCATTTTAAACCTGCATATCAACCTAAGAAACAGCGGTCCAGAATAATTAGTGGCCATGAACTTTGCCACAAAGTATTGACATCGCCCGTAAAAGAATTGTGGTTTGGGGGG